TAATTGGCTCCATTCTTTGGGTTAAACCTTGGTGCAACCTCCCTTCACTGGTGGACTCCTGAGTGGCACAAATTCTTACTTTACAAAGGCCCTGTTTTGTGCATTTGTAAATTGCAATCTAGGCTTAGGTACCTTCTAGATAGTAATTTGGGCAAACTGCTTCATCTTCTAGAGTTTTTGTTTGACATTAATAATTGCAAACTTGCTGTGAAGATTAAATAAGAAAAAGTATTCCATGTGTCGGGACATAATGATAATCATGACAGTGTCGTGCTATTCCAATAGGGTTGTTGTTTCAGTAGCAAAACAAAGGCTTGTGCTCAAGGCCTCAGTAACTCAGCTGACAAGATCTCCCTCAGCACTCAGGGTCATTTACCACCTCTTTTCCCAGAAAAATAATATTTTTGTATCACCTGCTGGAAAGTAGATATTGTACTCAGCTGTTTACATGCATTATCTTGTTCAGCCCAAATACCCCACTCTTGTGTGATATGTACTAGAAAGAAAACTGAGGTTCAGAAGTTAGAAAACTTATGTTAGTTCATATAACCAGTGAGTGTTGAGGTTGGGACAGGTTCCCAGCCAGGCAGGCTGTCTCCAGGTCTTCCTGACTTCAAAGCCCACACATTTAACCACTGCTTTATAAACATGGTGCTGTCTGCTCAGAAACCCACTATCAACTCCCAGAAAGGTTTCTTCCATGGTAATTGAAGGGCGCTGAGAAATGCCCTTCCCAGTCTTGGGCTGTCAGTATCCCTTATGTGATCTTTCTCACTCTGGCTTCCCAATCTTTGATCTCCTTAAAGAATCGTTTTATTCTGAAAATGAGAGGATGACATAAAAACTGACTTTCCTGGAGGTGTTTGTGTTGGGAGGGAGCAAAGGTGGGGGTTGCAAAGCTAGTCTAATTTGCTACAACATGAATCTGAGTGCATTCCTCAAATGCCTTTGCTCTTTTCTTCCTACCTTCATGCAAAGGTACTTCCAGCCCAGTTGGCTGTTAACTGGCTCTTCATCAGGAATATCGTCAAGCTGTGCAAATCAGAGGTGTCTGAATTGTACATCTTGAAAACCCCCAAACTGCAGGTTACCCTGGACAGTCCTTTTTCCTGATTATTTTCATCACATTGATGAGCTTTCCACCTCTCCCACTGTCCCTTCCTCTTTCTCCTCTCAAGTCAACTCACTTGTTTGCTCTTTCCCTCACTTTTTCATTTTCTTTAGTTTCTATTTCAGAGAGGCGTCTGGTGAGCAATTGCTTTTTTATATAGTGCTTGAGATATGAATTTTAGCTTTACAACTTTGCATGGTCATGTAATTGAGTCTCAGAAAGGCCATATAACCTTTCCAAGCCTCCCTCTTCATATCCTGGGTGAGGATAAGAGCACCTTTGTCAAACACTTTTAGGAAGGAAGGATTAAATGAAGTCATGTATGATACCACTTAGCCTATTGTTGGAATATAATGACAGGCCAAAAATGTTAACTTACTTTCTTATTACTGACATTTCTTTAATCCTGGCATATTCTGTCTTCTCATTCTTTTAGTTTTTAAAACGCTAACCTCACTGCTCCAGGGCCTTGGCAAAGACAATACCAGTCTTTTAGCTTCTTTTGGCTTTATTGGATCATCTCCCACTAATATCCAAGTCTAGGCTTACAATTTACTGCCCCAAAGGGCCCCATGGTGTGTCACCACTGTAAGGGTTATCTACACCCCCTTTGTTCTCTTACTGTTCTTTCTTTTATTGAGGTAGCATTGGTTTACAGTGTTGTTTGTGTTTTAGAGGTTTAGGGTCTCCCCCTTCAGTCTCACCACTTTTAACTTTCATAAAGTAATCATCATTTTCAATTATTCCTAGCATTTAGCTCTGACTTTCCTTATTGGATGACGAGCTTTAGGAAAACACTGTATCCTCACTGACTAGGACAGAGATTGACTGTCCTAAGGGTGGTGTCCTGATATTTGTTGGATATATAGTTTTCAAATCACATACAATTGGTTCCCCTACCTTACAAAAACAATAATCTCTTTTTATTTCTCCCCTCCTCCCTCCAAAACTGAGAATTCTCTGCTTCCACATTGGAAAGAAGCACTGATAAAGTTGATAGAAAACCTTTTCCTAAATAAGTCATCCATGGGGTCACTTTGAAGAGAACAACTGTATGGGGCCATCTCATGCTTTGCAGTATATTTAATATCCCTGGTCCATAAATGCCAAATCATTGGGAGATTTCAAAACACAGCAACACATTTGCAAATGCCCATAGGGAGTGGTACAGCCCGAGTTGAAAATTACAGGCCTTTAAAACCTTGGCCACTTCATAAATGTTACAAGCATCCAAGAAGAGATAATTATCTAACATTTAGAAGTTAGGTCAACTCCCTTCCCCCTTCTGGGGTAAATGGGGTGAACATATTGGTGTGTGTATTAAGAATTACATCCATATCTTCAAAACAGAGCTTGGCACATGTTTCTTCTTTTGTAGGGGAGATAGACTCTTTTGATATATCATCCAAAATAAAGAGGATGGGAATGTTATAAGGATTTTCTGGCATTGGGCTCAGACTCTAACAGGAGATTAATCTCAGATGCACTATTTCCAAAAACAATCAAGAGCAAAGCTCATAAGCACATGTATCTGATGGTGCTGAAATTGAAGCAGTTTCTGCAAGGCCATGGTCATACAGCACATAAACTTCATATTGTCATACTGGTCAAAGCAACCAGAAATGGGGGAGAATCAATAGGTATTTTCAGTGCTGCGAATCAATATTTAGTTCATTACGGTTATCTGTGATTGTAACAAGTATATTCACCAATGGGAGAAACATTTTATTGACTAGAAAACAATTTAAGAAATGCACTTGGTTCACCGAAGAGCTCACATAGCAATAAATAATGCAGTCTAGTGAGCAGTCACCAAAGACCAGGCAGTACCTTTGATAAGAATTATCTTGGTTTGGAGTTGGGCTGCAGCCTGACTTTGCCTTTCTGCCACTGGTAAATGAAAGAAAATTAGGTCCATTATGTTTATGATAGAATGAGCAAGGAAAGCTGACCTTAGCAAATATTCAATTTTCACTAACACATTACCAAAAAATCCTGTTTGCTACCCTTCCTATAGAGAAATTATTAATGGAATAGAGTGGTTGTAATTTAGGATTTTGGAGTTTGACAAGCCAGGATCCTGCTTTCCTCCTAATGGTTCTGTGACTTTTGGCAAATTATCAAAACTTTTCATTCTCAGATTAAAAAATTGAAAATTCTCACAGTAAAAAATTAAAAGAGGGGCTTCCTGGTGGCTCAGGAGTTTGAGCGCAGCGCTGTGAAGCTGTCTGCAGCCTCTGTAGTGCCGATTCAATCCCCGCCAGCCTCGGAGCAACCCACATGGCTAGCAGACCTCTCCTGTCTCTCCACTGCTCCCCTCAGCGGTGTATTTCATCAGTCTGCTTATTCTGTTCCTCGCTCTATCTCTGGTGAGTCCTCTCACCCTCCCACACATCTGGCTTGTACCCCGGTTCTTGTATAAATAAAAAATAAATCTTTAAAAAAAAATTAAAAGAAATTCCTATTGTTATAGGAAAAAAAATCCGAACAAACAACACATTAACAATTGTATATCTCAGAACGTTAGGCTCACAGGGCACGATTCTACTTTTATGTTATATATTTGCTTAGTGTCTGAATTTAAACATTTTTATCATGAGAATATGATATTTTATAATAAGAAACACAGCAATATATGTTGAAAAATTTACCTCTGTCACTTGTTTTTAATTACATACCAATAATGTGGTGAAAGAGGTTTTTTTTTAAAATGGGAAATATACAGCAGGCAGCTGTGGTTTTACTTCTATACTTTCTTTTCCCACCTGAGCTCCAAGTTCTGTTTGTTCGTTCAAGATGCAGGTACAATTCTGAACAAGAATTTCTTGAACGGGAAAAGGTAATTGTCATGTAAGACACTGGTGCAGAAAATTTAGGTCTCTCTACATTTCACTTCCTCATTGTGCTGTCCTGTACATAAAAAGATGCCAGATAAAATTTTTTTGAATCTAAAGGACCTATAAACATATTTTAAGACAAGGAAGCCTAAAAATTCACATCAGTCATCCTCAGTGAAGCAATAAACTACCATATTTCAACAACTCTACAACAACTTTATTGTAAGGCACAGCATTATATTAGGTGTGACTAAAAGAAAAAAAAAAACCACTGCCAGTTCAATTAGACCATGCTATCAATGGAAAGATTCACCCTGGTTTTATAGACATAAATATGAAAAAATGTGCCTCTTGGAATCAATAAACTATGGCAGTACTATAACTGAAAATCCACAATTTGTTCCAACATGATTACTTGAATTAGAGGACTTTAAGCTGTGTGACCCCTGGATATAAGTGGAAGAATACATCAACACTTTCAGTAGCACACCTTGAGTTTATTGACCTATGTAAAAAAATAATAGGTCTTGAAAAGTCAGAACAGTAAAAGAATATGAAAAAGGATATTTCTGTTTCTAGAAGGCTATACAAATATGCAAAAAGGAATAAGTTATTATTTCTCGCATGTCTTTTTGTTTTCCAAATTTTCCCCCTAACTTCATTTTAATGATACAAATGACTAAGGACCAGTTTAACAAATCATCTTTATATATATATATATATATATATATATATATATATATATGAAACATGCTTTGGAATATAGATAGAAAATGTTCCAAAAAAGTTGTTCAGAAACTTCTCTATACACAATATGAACAAGAATCCTGTATAAAAGGGGGGGGAAGGAGGAGAAGCACCTTTTATGGAATTTTGAAATTAAGATGACAAAAAAAAATGATCAATCTTGAATATGGAAACATGTGCTTGAACAAAAAAACCTCTATAATAAACCATAGCTAATTACTTCTTGCAAGGAAAGTATGAGGTAGTTTTAGCCTCATAATGAATCTACTGCAGCTTGGAGGGTTTTTTTTAGATGACTAATTATATTTTGTCACTTGGTATCTATAGAATCCAGATAATATGCTAACTTTTCTAATGTTCACCATTTTAAGGCACGCAATTCATGTAAAATGATGTGGGTTTTTTCTTTTCTTGTTTTTGTTTTGGATTCTTTCTGTATCACCTTAAAATACTTTTTAAACTCTTGATTATAAAAACGTTCCATATCAAATCTGCCATTGCAAATGACTGCCAAAGTGGAGAGTTATCAGCCTGAACAATAGCTCATCATGCCATTGGTGTAGAAAGTAAAAGGAGCTTAGTGATATGGTACCTTAGAAAATTCTCCAAGTATTGTCTGTCAATTATTCTGTGGACTGCTTCATTTCCCCATTTTGCTACCACAACATTTATATTACAAGATGCTACAGCAGTAAGTCTTTCTGAAACCCATTTTATGGTGCTTATGAAAATCATCACTCTTTATAACATCCTAAAAAAAATTTACACTCATTCAGAACTTCATGAAAATCCAGCTTGTCTTCAAGTAATTTTCCAATACTGTCTAAATTGTTCATATCCGTAGAAAAAGCATGTTATTTTTTTGCCAGCTCACAAATTCAAACTTTCTGATGGTGAGCAATGACTAAGGAGCTCTTCTCATCATTCCAAACTGTGCTCTGAAATTTCCCATGTCCTTCCTTCCTATGGGAGACCCTGAACATACTTTATGCTGTTTTGAGCTTTGCCTTCAACAACTTTTATTCCTCAAAAAGTGCTTGTTTGATAAAGGCTGAATCCTTTCTTGGCAATGGTTCAAGGAGTGGAACGACCTTGCTTTGTTAGGTTAGCGCCTAGAGTTTGAAAGGCTAGTTGTTCAGGGGCTTCCTGTGGCTTGGTATGAGATTCACTTCCAGGGCAAAGTGAGTCATGTCTTCAACCTTGGACGCCTTTAGGTCTCCTAGGCCAACAGCCTTCTGGGAAGATGAACACATTTTGCAAGGCACACCAGTGTGAGAACGCAGTGCTTGGTCAAGAGGTCCAACTGCAGTTCAGACTAACGTTCCAGGCTTTGAATCTTCGTGCCAGAAGAGCCTCTGCTCGCCACTCTCCAGGCTGTCCTCCAGCGGGTTTCCCTCTGTGCCATCCAGTTGACTGGCCTCTGTGTACTGTCTAGTAAAGGAAACCAGAAAATTTACTACTTGTGGTCATTGTGTTCCCAGAGTACAAACATTATTTCACTCAAAGAAGTTAGTAGAAAGCACTGTTAAGGAAATGATCCAAAATTGGAAATAAGGCAAAGGATGACTGCATGTTCTTTCAGTCACAACTGGAGGATTGTCGAGCAGCCCATGCAAGGAGTATTTAATTCTCAAGAGAGACATTCCTTTGTCTGACTTACATGTACATTGCTTAGGCCTCTGACTGTGTAAAGTTACATATTAATTTATTGGATTTTGCCTGGAAAAATATAAATAACTTTTGCCTAGTAAAAATGATTATGGTAATAGTTCTATTACCTGATAGGACATTAACTGGTTTTGATATCTAATTTAGTAATCTTATTCCAACAGTCCTCTTCCAGTGTGTTGAATTCAGTCTCGAATCCTCTTGGAACCAGTTTTACCATTCCATCAGTTATCTTAATGAGTTAAATAAATCTTTGACACATGACCATTTTTGCTTTGTGAGAAGTCATATTTTCAAGTGTTTTGAGTTTTAAATATTCTTCAAATTAAGAAAATAAACTAAATGTTTTCTTCAGTATCAAGGTATTATGTTTAGGAGGGAGGGGATTCATGCACATATTTTACATCCCTAGGGCACATGGGTTAAGTATAAATTGGAAACAGCATCACATATAAAAATTATAGACATATTTAGAGGGTCTATCCAAATGATAGCATCCTAATTACAAACCATTCCAGGAAGCAAAACCTCTCTCTTGAAATAGATGGTTAACATCAGTTAGATAGTTAGTAGATTTGTTTTTATTTCAAATTTCAATGTCTTTTAGTAAAGGTGATTAAAAAGTCATTTGGAAGATCTTTGGAAATAAATACTATGTGAAATCAGATAGTGTTTTCATCTAATATAAAAACAGATTTAAAAAGTCAGATTTCCATTGGTCGGAGCAAGCAAAACTCTGCTATGCAAAAAGCAAAACACAAATTCGAGGGACTGTACTTACTACAGCTGGCTACACTTAGTAAAAGAGAATTTAAAACTGATCTCATTTCTGGAGACACAACCATTCTCCTGGACAGAAGCCCTTGGTTTTGCCTAGTAGTGGGTAAAGTTAGATAAGGAAAAGGATGGGAAATGGAAAACAGGAAGTGAAAGAAAAAATAGTTATTAGAAAACATAGTTTGCAGCAGTGGAGCCAAAGAATGTGACAATATTATACAGTAGGTAGCATTTGAAAAGTCAACATTTCTAACTTTGGAAAGTTTATACTGCTGACAATTATACCACATCAGACAATAAAAGTTTCATTGATAAATATTTGCATCTTTCTGTAATATTACAACCTGGACACTGTGGGTAAAGATCTCTAACTAATCTTGTACATCATGTATTTAAAAAAATGAAGCTTTTGCAAAACATTTAAATAGTTTAACTTAGGAGGCTATTTAAAGTTTTTCATTTTTATTGTGAAACCCGATTTCTCTATTATTTGAAAAATTATGTTTTGATTAAAAATAAACATGCAATTTTAGAGCAAATTTCTAAAATTTTATAGATGATTGTTATCATGGATCTAGTTAAATTGATTAGAGCATGTCTTAATGAAAAATACTAGATAAGGAAATGAGTGGAAATAAGCACATAGCCTATAACTCCATGAATGGTAGGCTAAACCGGCAAATCTTTCTGGAAAGAAAGAGATTAGAAAGTATGTTTCTCAATTTAGTCTGTTCATTCTACTTATTAGAATGTATTCAAAGGAAATAATCTAGAATTCAGACAATATTTTGCACAAAGATGTTAATAGCAGCTTAATAGTAGCATTATTTGAAATAAAAAAGAGAGAAAGTCAAATTAAAAATACGGAGAACTTAAAAAGTGTGGTATATTTACTGAGCGAAATTGATATTTCTGTTGGTCACACAAAATAAGATTTAGGGAGTTTTTAAAAAAGTATAGGAACATGTTTTTGTTAAGACATTAAGTAAAAAAGCAGATATAGAATTTCATATGCAATGAAAGATGTAAAATTTTATGTACTATATTATTATGATAATTTTAAAACTGAATACAGAAAAACGTGGGAAATGTGCCAAATGCTAATAGTTGCTATGTCTATATGGTAGAATTATGGGTAAATTATTTCCTACTTATTTGTCCCTTTATTATTGTCCTAATTTTCCACAGTAAACTCAGAGCATGTGTGTGTGTTTTTTAACACCCACACACCCACACCCACACACACAACCACACACACAGAGACAATAGGGAACTTTAAATAGTTTCTAATTTACTGTACTTTATGCTGCTCCAACATCAGGCTCCCTATCAAGCCATCTTGGGCTGGCTGAAATAGATGGGCAGACTTGGTAAAAACTGATTTTTCCCTAAAAATGTTTAGCACTTCCTGAGTCTAATGAAATGGTGTTAAGGATATTAGCACTGTCTTATGCATTCAATGTTTTCTATCATTTCTGAAGCAACCAAAAGGAAAGTAAAAATAAACAACATGAAAACTATTTGCAAATATATTATACAAAATGACTTGAACTGAATTGGAAAAGCTCAGACCAAACTGTGGGCCAAAGTCATTTTAGATCTTGCTCCTAACTCATTTGCAAGCATTATTTACAAAAGTCTGAGCTATCTGACATCCTCTGAGGCATATTTTCACTAAAATTCTATTTTGAGCACACCCTTTGTTGAGTTGAGACAATTGGCCTAATATTTCAAGCCAAGAAAAACTCCTACTGAACTTGGAGAAGAAAAATAAGGCTTTGGGAGTTGAATATTTTTAATCTGCTTATAACACTGAGAGTTTTAATAAGAAACTAACCTTTCAAATTCACTTGTATAGACACCTTTATAAATCATAGTCTGTGTAAGTCTCCCATACCTGAAGAAAGCTGACTTAAAGAAAGCAAAATTAAAAATTTCTAAAAACAAACAGAAAATGTTCCATTTCTTGCCAGCATTGCATGGATTATACTCTGAGAGAAAGTGATAAGGGAGAAAGGACCTCTTCAAACCTAATGCTTCCTGTCTACCTAAGAATTTAAAACATGTCATTCAAAATTTGCAATCTTTTTAAAAATCAGATTTTAACAAATTGTTTCTATATATTGTCTCTGAATGTTGACAAAGAATTGCTTTCATAGTCACGCGGGACAGCTGGCTGTGTCTGTTGCTTCTTAATGAACATGGGGTCAGACACAAAAAGGCAGCAAATGTTTGAAATCAAGCCCACCAAATGTCATGAGGATTCTTGGTATGAACAGTCATTTCTGGAGTAGAAATATTTTTCTCCCAAGGTTCCAGAAGAATCTTAAATGGATATAATAATAATAATAATAATAATAATACAGTGCTGCAATTAAAACCTGTCAGACACAGGTTTATGCACAGAATTTAATGCACATAACAACAGTGTCAAATTTGAATGCACTAGATTGGGAGTCAACAAATTTCTCTTAAAGGCTCAGATATTTTTGGCTTTGATATAGTCTCTGTTGCAACTACTTAGCTCTGCCCATACAGTACAAACCAGTCATAGATAATACGTAAATGAATGAGGATGACTGTTTCCCAATAAATCTTTATTTACAAAAACAGGTGGCAGCTGGTTTTGGCACAGAGGTTGTAATTTGCTAATCCTTGAGCTAGATTACTTAGCATTCATAAAATGAAATAGGCTCCCTAAGTTCCTTTCACGAGGAGCACACTGTTAGAATTTTTGAGCATTGCTTCCTTACCTGCCTGGAGAGGGCAAAGGATTACAGATGTTGCCATAGCAGCTGGTATAAGAGGAATGTGCTGGGGTTTCATACTCAGACAGTCCCACAGTTATTTGTGTTCTCCAGTTCCCAGAAGCATTTGTAGAAGACACTAGAAATAAAAACAGAAAAAGAGATTAAATTAGTGGGAATATTGAAAGTAAAATTTGTTTAGGCTGTTGAATGTACTTTATAATCAGCTGTGAGCAGAACAGAGATTAAGAACTGATGTCTATAATCAACATAGTTCCTCACTTACTGGCATGTGACCTGGGCAAATAATTTATCCTCAGTTTCTTCATCTGTAAAGTGGGGATGATAATATACATGTATTTCATATAAGGCTTAAATAAGGTAATGTATGAAAATATGTAGTATAGAGTGAGCACTTGATAAATAGCCATTAAGGTTACAATTAAAAGAATAAAGTTATTTCAAAAACATGCTATAAAAATAACCCAAAAGACAAGACATAAAAAGAATTCTGATACATTAAGAGAATCTTCCCATTTAGGCTATGGGTGCTGGGTGTGTAAAGCTTTAGTTATAAGGGTGAGGTGCAAACCTGAGTTTCTTTTTCTTTTTTTTTTTTTTTTTGGCATATAAGGCCTTTATTATGTTATGTTTTTTCTGTCTCCATTTTACTAAAATTTTTTTTATATGATTTTTTTAAATTTTTATATTCCCCATACAATTGTGACTCCTTATTTTGACCTTAATCCCTCCCCTCCCTGCGTACCACCCCCCATAGAGTGTCTCTGGTTCATAGTTGTTTGTTGATTTTGATTTTCACTTTCTTATAGTTATTCATTTTCCTGGTCCCTTATTTAAGTTTTCTAGATTCCTGCTATGAGTGAGACCATCCGGTATTTTTCTTTTTCTTTCTGGCTTATTTTGCTGAGCATGATCCCTTCCAGCGCCATCCATGTTGCTGCAAATTGCATGCAAACCTGAGTTTCTTAGAGGCCTTTGGAGGAAAAGCATTCCCTGAGTAGACTTGATTGTTTCTTAGCCAAAGGCAATGTTGGCCACGAGCAGGGTTAAGGGCTATTTTTTTTTTTTTTTAAATGTTAGGGGCAGGGAAGGCAACTGATACGGGAAGGATTTCATAAAAAAAGAGATTTAGTTTTACTGAGGGACTAAACCAGAACAAGACCAGGGCATAATTTTGGAGCAAAGCCCAACAAATACTTCTTTGTTGGGCATTTGTTGTTCTTTTGATAAAACCAGTCCGCTTAAGGGGCAAAGGGCGATGGAGATGGACTATGTGGAGGGTTATAGGGGCACTGGTGGTGGGTGTGGGATAGCTCTATACATTTGGAGAGGTGAGAACCTATACCTCTAAATCATCTGCAGTGTTATAAATCCATGTTACCTCAATAAAAATAATAAAAACAAAAAGAGACAGTCCTATTCCATGTCTCAATGCACTCAGTGAATACAATGCTGCATTCCGGTCAACCAAGACACAAAGCCAGCATTTCTTATGAACCCCTCAGCTCTCTTCCATTCCTTGTTCCAAGCAAGCGGGCAAGGTGTGTTCTTTCTCACACCTGCAAAGCACGTATGATAAGTGTGAGACAAACACATTTCAAAACTCATCTGGTTGCTATGGGTTTTGACTCAAAGATGTCATATCTTCACTTTGAGCTGCCAAGGTTGTTTCAAAACTCCAAGAAGTAGGCTTTGAGCTTTGGTGGTTAAGATGTCAGGGCTGAGATGAAATTCTCAACTCTACCATTTATTAGCTTTGAAGCTAGGACAGCATCATATATTGATTAATTTTAAAAATTGTATTTTTTTATTGACTATGGGTATACAACACCGCACATGATTCATAGACACAGGTTTGCAACTCTTCAGATGTATGTCATCACACCATACCTACCAACAAGGCAATAGGCATGTCATTTAAACTCTCTAAGCCATAGTTGCCTCAGTGGCAAAATTAGGATAATAATAATCAACAACAACAGCACTCACCATAGAGAACTGCCGCATATAATAAGTGGAATAGTGCCTATAAAGGGTTGAGCAGGATACAACCACAGAGTAACTTGCCGATAAATGGCTGTTATCATTACGACTAAATCTGAGTCACCAAGCCAGACTTTAGGTGGCTGGAAAGGACTACAAAACTCCTGACTAATTTGGCAAATACTTGGAAATGAATCTCTCCATAAGAATGATGTGTGTCTTGTAATCTATCTTTGTAGTAACAAAATATAGAAAAGAATGACCAAAATACCACTGTGGAATTCTGGGAGGACAGATTTCATCCTTCTTATTACTTAAAAAGAGATGTATTTGGTCTGTGAGGTCAAATCCTCCCGGACCCTCAGGGAACATCAATTCCATTCTCACCTTTGCCCCAGATGCTGAACCAAGTGCCAGGGAATGTTCAGGTTTTCCGAGTTACACCTGCTTGTCCAAAGCCTTTCTGTTTAAAGAGACACATAAGCCCTGTGCCCCGATGACCATTCACATGTCTCTGCCCCCTTGTCTGGTTCTTTTTTTTTTTTCATCACACCCTGCCCAGGTTTGGTTTCTGAAAGCTTCTCATGCAATGCCTTGGAGTTTGGGGGAAAGGTGTGTTCTAGATCAGAGCCATAAATAACAAAAAATAATTACAGGAGTCTTTTCATATGTTAGATGTGGTAACAGAATGGGAAAGCCCTTGCGGAAGTCCAAAGTCTGCACAAACAGAAGAGAACTTCAACCCAAATAGAAATCTCCATGGAAATATCTTTTGTCAACAAGCCTATAAAACTTTTAAAGGTACGTTTTCACTAACTATTGCCGCATAACATGGGCATTCCTGTGCTATGTCTCATGAAGGTGTCACAGCAGGAAGGAACATGACTCATGATCTCAGCTTTTTGCGTACTTCAAGAATTCATTCACTTCTTAGAGCTTTAAAGGTGTTTAGTTTTCACCTGCACGCCTATGTTTATTGCAGCACTATTTACAACAGTCAAGATATGAAAAACAGATATGCCCCAAAATAGATGACTGGATCAAAAAGATGGTGTGTGTATGCACAATGGAACACTACTCAGTGATCAAAAAAGAGAAACTCATGCTATTCACAGCAATGTGGATGGAGCTGGAAAGGATTATGCTGTGCTGATCAAAATAAGTCAGAAGGGAAAAAAATATTGGATGAGGAATATAGAGAAACTAAACAAAGGGTCAGGAAAAAGACAAACAGGCAAGCGGATTATACATCTGAGGCATACAGCAGGGGAGGGGGACAGAGGGGGGGCAACAGGGGAAGGAAGAGCACAAGGGACTGTGGAGACAGATCATGGGTGCTATGGTGGTGGGGGAAATATGGGGACTATACCTGAGGGGAGAAATCAAATACTCTCGCCAAATTAACATGATGTAAGAAAATAAAAAATATTGGTTAGTTTTCATATATTTGGCCACTAGCAACAGTGGCCTCATTAAGCCAGGTTACTGGTTCAACACTGGCTATTGAGCACCTTGGAAATGACTGCTTGTTTGCTGAATATGGAGCCATAGCAGCTATAGCAGATGGCTCTATGCTATGGAGCCATGGCAGCCTTCTTCTAGTCTTGCTACTTCTCTCCTTAAAGTGCTTGCAGAGTTGGGGGTATGTAGTATGTCCATCACAAATGTTAGTAGAATTAAGGGCCAACGTCAAATGAAAGAAACATCTCTACTCAAAATTATCTTCAAAAATCCCTTAACTGGGCCTCCTTGATGCTGCAAGGGGTTAAGACGCAACCCATGAAGCTATCCGCAGCTGCTGCAGCAAGAGTTTGATCCCGGCCAGGGAGCTACCCTACATGGTGCAGCAAACCTTTTCTGACTCACCCGCTGCTCCCCTCAGCAGTGTATTTCAGTAGGTCTGCCTGTTCTGTTCCCTACTCTGTCTCTGGTGAGTTCTCTTACCCCCCACACGTCTGGCCTGTACCCCAGCTCTTGTATGCATAAATAAATCTTTAAAAAAATCCCTTAACTAACCATAGAGTACATATGATTAGTGAACTGAGGCAAAACAAGTAACGTGCTTAGGAAATAAAAAAGACACGTAAAGTACTTAGAACAGGGCTGGGGACAGAGTTTAATAAATGCCATCTCCTATCAGAATGAGTAGAAACCTTATGCAGGTACTGGGCACGGAACACAAACTATCTCTAGATTCCTGGTGTGAACAGGGCAGAATGTACGATTCTACCAAAGGGTTTTACTCTATTCCTTTCACAGAGCAAACCTTAATGATCTTTACAGTGAACATACTTTAAAGAGATGTGACTATTTAATGTAAGACCCAGAAAAGATAAAATATGTAAAAGCCAGTCCCTAGCATGTGCAGCATATAAAGTGCACCAGTGTCTGTTGGATTTGAATCTACAACTTGTTTCATTAGCGGTGGACCACTGCTCTTTGGACATTGGTCTTTGGAAATCTGTAGAGAACTGTTTTCAAGGGCTCTCTACTTAGAGGCTACCTCGCTCATGAACTTGAATGCTGGTCTCATGATGCTTGAGGGGAGTGGTTTGGGGTGGACGAGTACAGGAGTAAAATAAATCCAGGTATCAACTACTTCCAGAGTGTTCTTACCTGAGGAGTAGGAGGATGCACGACTGCTTGGAGAACAGGGTACTTGCAGCCCTGCAAACCCCAGGCTTCTCTGAGACCCCCTTTCGGAGTCAAAGCTAGTCTGTGGGCTGTGTCCCTGCTCCTTTTGCCCAGAGGCCCGCTGATACCAGCCACGCAGGTGCTCTGCAACTAAGGCCTTGTGGATGTTTTTGGTGATGTGCTCTGACTTGGCAGCAGCCTTCCGGGGCAGTCGGAGAGTTGCGTAGGGGTTAGGGGGCACCCGGTCAACCTCGTCTTCATGAAAAGATCTGCTGTAGTCCCTTTGGCGGTCGTATGCATAGTGGGCGGAGGACCGGTAGGAAGGATTGACACTGTACTGTCCTTCGGTGTCATTCTCGTACACATAGCCGCCGCCGTAATACAGGTCGCACTCGGCATACGGCGTGTACCCCGCGATATAGTAACTGGAAGAAGGCTGCTCCGGGTTCTTGCAGTACACGCCATTCCGCAAACTGTCCTTTTGGGCTAGGTTGGGCATGCTTCCTGAATTCGACGTGGAAACATTCTGTTTCTTCGACCTTCTCCGACCTCTGGCGCGAGTGTCCAGAGTTTGGGTGGTGTAATAGGGGCCTGTCACTGGCGTCACACAGTAATACTCGGTGCTCGATTGGCTGGTGTAGGAAGACCCGTCATCCAAGATTTCTGTGCTGCTGCTTCTTTGGGATTTGGAGAGGGAAAAAAATGGCTTGTCGTTGTCCATCTCGGAGAGCAGGTGGGACTGGGACTCGAGGCTTCCACTCCGCTGGCGGCAGTGCTGAGATGAAGATTCGGGCCTGAGAGACGGCAAAGGCAGACTTAGAAACAGAAAGCAGCAGAGGAGGCCCGAAATAAGGGAAAACAACACAGCCCTTAATGAGTTAATAACTTTTGAACTGCAGTAGTGCTTTTTAAGGCCTCCAAAGTTCACTGCACAACACAATCCATTTGCTCACATAATCCTTTCGTTCATAGGTAAGTTCGTTTCCATGGTCAAAATGAGAAAAGAATCAGGTTCTGTCAATTGTACAAGTCACATTCCTTTTTGAGGCTAGGGAAGACAAACTAATACGTGTAACCTGACTCAAAGACTGAAATAAAAACCTCAGCATGTCTTGGAGGGCCCTCTCTTCCCCAGGATAGCGGCTGTGTGTGTGTGTGTGTGTAGGGGGGCAGGGCCTGGACACTGACATGGAAGATAATTGAATTGAGTCAGGGCTCTGCCATTTCCCGGCAGTAAAAACTTTGGGCAGGATATTTAACCTCTCCAAAACTGCCTTTCTCCTCTGCAAAATGGGGACAAAATCAGCATCTAATATCTACAGTTAGACTTGTTAAATAATACAGCGCATATCAAATAATGAACACAACCCACAGTAAACACTCCATAATGTCTATATCGTCAGCTTCATTCTCACTGTTGAATAATGAATGGTAGTGTCTGGCTGGGAAAATTAAGGTATAAGAGACTCCAGTCTCTCCCCAAACAAAGTGCATTTGCTTTGTCAACATATTTGAAAATGAGTGAAAATATGCAGTTCCATAAAAATAGAGTCCTACTGCAGAAAGTCCCACACAGTGATTTCAAAAACACAACAAAACCTTAAAAAAAAAATCAACAGGCATAAAAGCAACTGGCATGAAGGGCTCTTACTCCAAGTGACTGCTGCTATAGGCATTGCGGGTAAGAACTGGCGTGGTGGGCATGCTCCGGCCTCCCTGGGGGCGTCTCTCCAAGGTTTTGTAGGGGCTGCTGTGTGTTGACAGCATTTCTCTGTGAAGGCAAAAAGAATTCAGGAGATGATGAATCTCCTGACATCTGTGGCAAACTTGTCATAAGCGGATTTGAAACTTACTGGAAGCTGAAGTACAGGGGTTTAGAGAGAAATTGGGAAAGGTGTCTTTATTGGCTTAGTCCCCTGGTATGTCCCAGATGAGATGAAGCATAAGTGGTCTGACTCATAAATATTTAAGGACAAAAAAAGTTTTTAAAAAAGTGTACTGAACAAAATAGATTGAAAGCAAGTAAAGTAGGGGTCATCAAACCCTTTTTCTAGAAAGAGTATAAGGGTAAAGTAAAGGTCTTTGGATTTGTGGGTGAGATGTCTATCTTCACTACTCAACTCTGCTCTTGAAGTGTGAAAGCAGGTAGACTATGTAAGTGATGAGCATGGATGAATGCCAATAAAAGTTGACTGTGGACAATGAAATTCAAAATTTGATGTAATTTTCAAGTCACAAAGTGTTATTGTTTTTTATTTCCTCTTCAACTATTTATAAACAAAAAATCATGAGACATGTAAAAATGGGGAGTAGGATGGATCTGGCCCATGGGCTGTGGTTTGCTGATGCTTGGACTGGCAGGCAACACTTTGATCCCACCTTAAAACACTTTGATTCCACCTGCTACAACACTGGGGTCACAATGTGAAGTTAATTTATTAATTCCAATGAGTTCAATTCAATTTTTACTTATTACAAAAGCACATTAAGTCCATTGCTGAAAAGTTAACAAAAGTAGGTAAAAAAGAAACATTTAAATGTCCATAATTTGATACCTCAAATATAACCAGTCAACACTAAATATTTTCAGATTTTTATAAACATATACTTAAAAGCATTTATACTTTCTAAATGAAATCTTAGTACCTATACTGTTTCAAAACCCTCTTTACAAAAAACAAACTTAAGTTGTATCTATGTTTCATGTGGTTTACTATTAGTCTAAAAGTTAGATTAATGACTTACAACATTCTATTGTAAGGATTTATCAGAATTTATTTATTTAAACAATCCACTGGTTAGACATTTGGGTTATTTTCATTGTACTAGTATAAAAAATACTGTGATGAGTTTCCTGTTGTTCATTAATTCAATAGGAAAAATTTCTTTAAGTGAAATTGTTGGATCAAAGAGCAAACCCATCATAAGCCATTTTGGAATGTGGGTATAATAGTTTTAAAATGATTCTCAGTAATAAATCTCCCTTTGGTTGAAATAGTTTTGTTCCCCTAATATAAAAAATACACTTGGAAAGCAATATCAAGTAGGACTTTCTTTAATGAAAAAAATGTGCTCTGTCTGTGCTGCCTAATTTTATTGCCACTAGCAGAGTGTACCAATTAAGTATTTAAATGTTGCTAGTGTGAGGAAGGAACTGAACCTGTTATTTTATTTACTTTTAATTAAATTAACAGCACAGTTCCAGACACTTGGATCTCTATTGTTTTAGGCAATTGCTGTTAAAGTGCTCATTCACAAACTGAGGCTGATAGCGTGATAACAGTTTTCACTGGTATTTGACAAATTAGGCATATAAGAAGTGTCGATTTTATTTTCATGGTGAGATCATTTAATCTAAATAAGCATTCTTTATTTTGGCACTAATTTCCATTTTGACCAAGATATGGTATAGCATTTACTGAAATCACATCACAGGCTTTCAAGTCAGTTTACCTGGGTTCAAATCCTGTTTCTGACATTTACTATTTAATGAACCTAGCAACTCATGCATGCTTTCTGGTTCTTGGTGTACTTACTTATAAATGGTAATGATAGTAGTAATAATACCAGGATTGTTGGTAGGATTAAATTTGTTATTACAAACAAATTAAACAGCATCTGGCTTATAGTAAGTGCTCAGCAAATGTCAAATTTTTATCATTATTTTTTTTTAAGATTTATTTTTATTTATTTATGCAAACACTGGGTACAGTCAGAAATGCGGGAGGGTGAGAGAATTCACCAGAGCCAGAGCAGGGGGCAGAGCAGGCAGAAGGACCGAAGTACACTGCTCAGGGGAGCAGCAGACAGCAGGAGAGGTCTGCACGCCATGTGGGACCCTCCTTCGGTGGCCGGGGAGCAGCCGGGGATCGAACGGGCGCTGCAGAGGCTGCGGGCAGCTTAGCAACCCAGCGCTCAACCGCTGCGCCACCGGGGAGGCCCAAATTTATATCATTATTACAATAATAACAATGACAGCTGTATTTTTGATATTTAAATGTCATTTTTCCCTCCAATATCATGGTAGTATTTGTTTGAATATTCTAATTGGGCAAAGTCAGTCAGTCCTGTCACTTGGTTTGGTAGAGTGGTAATTAAAATATAGTTTCTGGAAAGCATGGTTTATGGACCTGAAATTTGGATATTAAACTCAAATACAAATTGCAATTAGTGTCCCTATAATTTAATATAAATCAAATATACTTAAAAATCAAGGAAATAGCCAAATGCTTTTAAAAAGATTTCTTAGAAACATTTCCACTTCCTTTCAATTACAAGTAACTATGTCATGGTTTTACAAAATAACCCCTTCTGAAAGGAGGAAATAGGAAAATACAATAATGGGTTGACCACTTTGGAGAACAAAATCTCATAGTTTCGAGGTATTCACCTTACTGATGATGTAACCTCTTACCTGGACTGCCTGGTATCCACCAGCTGTTCATGGATGGATGACTTTCTGAAATGGATTCGCTCAATTCCAAGAGACTTGGGGGGAAGAATTCTTGGAGAATGAGGCACTGAACTTGATCGCTGTCCAGCAAGACTGAAGGCATCAGTGGCTATAAGTAAATGAATGAATGAATAAATAAGTAGGTAAATACATATCTTCCCACACCCCGCAAAATAAATTGGGAGATCTGATGAACAAGGTGCTCTTCCAAAGATTTTTTTAGGACTATGCAACTTTCAGGAAATGTGTTTCCTTTCTTTCTTTTTTTAATTTTATACACTAGGGAAAAATATTGAATACTCTTGGGGGATCTGATCCAATTTTTGCCAATTTAATAGGTGCGGCTTTGAGCAAAGAAATCACTTAGATGCAATGAGTGATACTATAGATTTTCTGGAGTTTTACTAGAGAAAAACCCAGTGTATATGGAGGCAGGAGGAGGTTGGCTTGGACTGTTATTACTTAGTTTTACATTGAAAGTTCTTCAGCCTTTTTTTTTTTCTTTAAAGATTTATTTATTTATACAAGAACTGGGGTACAGGCCAGATACGCGGGAGAATTCACCAGAGACAGAGTGGGGAACAGAACAGGCAAACTGACAAAATACAGTGCTGAGGGGAGCAGTGGGCGAGACAGGAGAGGTCTGCCCCACCATGTGGGAATCTCCCTGGCCAGCTGCGAATCAAATCTATGCTGCAGAGGCTGCGGACAGCTTCACAGTACGGCTCTCAACTGCCTGTGCCACGAGGGAGGCCCTCTTCAGCCTTTTTGACTGACCAAAGGCTCATCTTGTCAATGAAAGTGATAAAACTGCTGAGTCATTAGAGAATTTTTCTGTCTCCCACCGATATTTGTATTTTCAATTGAGGTATGGCAAACACCATCAAACCTCAGCTTAAGGGAAGAAACTGGGACTGGTGAAATTTCAAGTACCATAAAACTTAGGGAAAGATAAAGGAGTAGAAGCTAAAGACTTTCCCAAAATCTTTAAATAATATCAGATAGACAGCTAGTTTTCAGCTCAAATAGAGGAAGTTACAAGGAAATATTCTTTCAGTTGATACAAAATCCATCCCATCATAAAATGTGTTGAGCAAATATGAAAAATCACAACAGAGAAAGGCTACCTCTATGAAACTCAACATGAAATTAAATTTCTATAATGTGCATCTTTCCTAAGGAACATAAACTCTCAGTAATCCAGAATATAGTGATAATCAGTTTATACTATCACTTTCTGGCTTTGATATTGGACTCCATTACATTACCTTTGGGAAAAACTGGGTGAAAGACTGTATTATTATGCAATTCCCTGTCGTTCAATAAAATAAAAAAAGATTAAAAAATAAAAATTTATATGAAAAAAAGTTAAAAGAATCTTACAGAGCCTTACATATCCTTATTGAGAGAAGTATTATGTTATTGGTATTCTGATTCCCTGAGGTTGTCTGATTTGTATGAACTGTATTTAATGCTGAGTTATCCGGTGCAGAAGTTCGTCACAATCTCCTTGTTCCCAACCATTCTGCTTGAATGCAAGTAGTTGATTTTACTTTCTTCCCAAAAAGATAACAAATAGGCTTCATTTAACTAAGAAAGTTATCTTGATATGTCAGAATATTTACCATTTTAAACCATAAAAGGCAGGCTACTTACAATCATCATAGGTGGTCGTGTCAGACAAGGAACTGCTCTCTGATGGGATTATGTCTTCTGTGAACAAAAAGAACTGCCTTTAATATAATTGCACATTTATACACCTATCGTGAGTAATGAAGTAATTCTCAGTTGCGTACATTTTATTTTTATTTAGATAAATGTAACTGCTGGGCATTAAGAATTATAAGAATGGACTGAGTTCCAAATGAAGATATAAACTTTTCACTTTTTTTTTTTTTTTTTTTGGTGGGACCCTTGCCAGTGGCTGGGGATAGAACTGGCACTGCAGAGGCTGCGGGCAGCCTCGCAACACAGCGTTCAACCGCTGCGCCACCAGACGAGGCCCTAAACTTTTCACATATTATACAAATATTCCATTGGATTTTTTCTTAAAATAAAACAGACTTCAGGGCCTTTGGTTTTCAATTGGTTTTTAATCTAGTTTCTACACTGGATGAAAACTGTACTCTACACATTGAATGCTTCCAACCAAACAACTGGAAAGAAAAATCATACCAGTCATGATACCAATGCTAAATGTTATGCAAAATACACTGGAATCCTTAGTTAAGAATCTACTGTCAGTACAATTTATTTTATTTTATTTATTTTGTTTATTTATTTATTTATTTATTTTGTGAGACCCTAGCCGGCGGCCGGGGAACGAACCGGCGCTGAAGAATAACAGGCTTTTCTTAATAAAGCATGGATAATTTGGGGCCTCTGAACTTTTCATTAGATTAGGGTTTCTCAACAGTGGCACTACTGGCATTTTAGACAGTTGGGGATCCTTCACATTTTAGGATCTCCAGGCTACACCCCCTGGATGTCAGCAGCATCCTTACCCTCAGTATTGAGAACCCCAAATGTTGGAGACATTGCCAACTATTCCCTGGGAAGCAAAACTGTCCCTGGTTGAGAAACACTGGCTTAAACATATCAAGAGTTCGAATCTTGGTTTTGTTACTTATTGGTTCCGAAACCTTGGGTAAATGACTGTATCTCTTTAAGCATCACTTGGTGTCAACTCTATAAAATGAGGATAATAGTACCTAGTGAATAGTGCTGAGGTGAGCATTAGATGAAATAATGGATGTAAATCCTTAAGCCCACAGCTCCAGGCACAGGACAAATGCTAATATGTTAGCTATAATTATTACTTTTGTTATCCATGCATAGCATTTTCATAAAAAGAAATGCAGTGGTTGGAAATTCCCATAATGCTTTGAGCATTACTGGCACCCATCAAATCTTCAAAAATGTATTTATCAAAAAGAGACACCTCAGATGTGTTGATCTGCTTTGGCATTCCATATTCAGTGTTGAGTATTGGCAAGATTATAGGCAAATCTGAAACCTCAATGTAAACTTCAAAGTCATTATGAAGAGAATCTCCCCATCCAATCTCAGTGCTAATCTCTATCAGAGCCAGGCAGACCAGCTCTTAATTGGACACATAGTGTAACTTGAAAACGAGGTGCCAGTATAGACAGCTGTGAGGCATACTTAAAAAAATTTGTACCCAATACATGCTCAACCATTGGCACCATCTGCTGCCCAAATGTCAGTCAGTCCCTGTAACGGAGAACACTTGCATCTTGCACAATTTGGGAATGAATGTGCCACAACAAATGGCTATGAAAGTTAAATGCACTGCTAATCACCCATCTCTGTTGGTCCTGAAAATAACCATAGCCAAGACCAAGTGGATTTCACATTCAGAGTCAAAGCCGCCCTAAATTCTCCAACTGTAGTTGACTAACACTTTTGTGTTGATGTCTGTGCATTCACATCCCAAAGCCAAACTGCTGCTCTATAAATCATATGACCTAAACCTGAGCATATTTTAAACCTAGGCATCATATTTGTCAAATCAAAGATACTAATTATTTTATGAAATGGTAAAAAAAAAGAAAAATACTGCTAATCTTAATTGCAACACACCATCTAGTATAAAAAATATCCAATTTTACTGATGCTTAATCTGAAAAGGAATCAGTTGCATTTCAAGCAATGAGCAAGGTTGAAAGTAATGCCAAAAGATATGTAAAGCCAGTTGGACCTGCAATCTATCTATATGCAATGTTTTAGTATTCTTTTTTTCCTGAATATTACAGTCTTCAATATACAAAGTTGACAATTTTGAAAATACAGAAGAGTATTAAGAAAAAAAATCAAGTCACTTGAAATTCTATGACTATTAGTATTTTTAAATCTTTCCAACAAGTCCTAGTTTTCATCTGATAATACAATGTCCATATTACATTGTGGTTACAGCTTTGTATCCCGTCTCTTTACTTTTTATGTTATATCAAGATCATTTGCCTATATCTTTAAATGGCCTCTGTAAATGACAGTGATTTAAGGGCTATTTTCTTTCTGTATGTGTGGACAGGTCCTTTAAAGTGTCTGGAATGCACTCTGATGCACTGGAAATCTTCAAGAAGCTAGTGCGTAGTGCCCAGCTCTCCAATTCCCCATGTGGTCAAATTTACTTTTTTCAATGACATTAGGCTGGTTAAAGGTGAATCTGTCTTATTGTTCACCAATTTTCATGGTGAAAACTAAAGCAATGAAATAGTATAGTATTACAATAGTAAGAATGTTACTGACCATCGTTTACATACTTGTAAGTCTGAAATTCAAATTATTTATATCCTACAAAACTTACTGTCAATCCTGTTTTTTTTTTTATCTCTTCCAAATGAACTGGTTTAGAAATGCTATTTACTACCAACAGTATTGACTATGTAATTCAAAACACTTTACATATTACTAACCTGGTAAAATAACTGCTGCTTTCTGGCCAGGTTTCTTTCCACATCTAATTCGGTATTCATTTATTGCATTTTCAATCTCCTGAAGCTTTTTCACCGCATCTGAGTAATCTTGCTTTCGTTTTTTCTTCACAGTTTTACAAAGGTCTGGCTCACTGGCAAGTTTCTTTGCAGCTTCAACCAGCTTTTGCTGTATTAGGAAATTGCTCTCCAGTTCTTGCAAAGCAGGATCCTGCATTTACAAAATAATACTGTTATCTATATCACAGACGTAATCACTTTCACATGCACTGGATAGTAAAAAAAATGTTCTGTGTATTCTCAAATTAGATGCTGTGTGACAATAGAATCTTCCCCAGTTTTTCAAAAGGAAGAATTAGTAGTCATGAGTTTGATTCATATAGAAATACTCTTAAAAAGAGTAAATAAGATAGATGGAAATTATCCCGAGAACTCTCACTTGATAATTAATTTGGAAAGCAGTAGTACAAGAAGGTATACAAAGCAACACTTCAACCAGCAACCACATAATTTTCCCCTCTTGCCTGAATTTCCTCAAATTTTACTGCATAGGTATCATCAACCAATCTCCTAGAAGACAAGACCTCTCTCATCCATTACTTAAAATTCTCAATAATCCAAAAGTCTTTCCTTTCAAAGAAGAGAGTGGTCTTTCATTATTCAGCTGGTTGGGTGAAGATCACATATTTTCTTTTTTTTTCTTTTTTTAAATATACAAACACTGGGTACAGTCAGAAGCGTGGGAGGGTGAGAGAATTCACCAGAGCCAGAGCAGGGAACAGAACAGGCAGACTGACGAAATACACTGCTGAGGGGAGCAGGGGGTGTGGCAGGAGAGGTCTGAGCTCCATGTGGGACCCTTGCAGTGGACGGGGATTGAACCGGCACTGCAGAGGCTGTGGGCAGCTTCGCAGCCCAGCGCTCAACCGCTGTGCCACCAGGGAGACCCGATCACATATTTTTCAAAAAGGGGTTCTTAACTTAAGATTCATTGATGCAGTGGTTCCTAGTGGTATGACCCTGGAGACGCTGCTTAATTTTTGGATGTTTCAGGGTTTTTTCTACTTCTATCATGGAGATAACATCTACCTTATAAAACTATGGTGAAGATTAAAAATGATAACATACATGCATTGTTTTGCTCAGAGCTGGGTATAAAATGAGCACTCAATAAATGGCAAATTTTACTCTATTACTGATGGAAACTTACATTTTTTAAAGCCAAGAAACATGACTATGGTCACACTAATGATATAATAAAGGAGAAAGAACGCTCTATATTGGTTAACATATCTTTTAGCTTTATTATATCTGTGGGCTATACATTTATTATCTCACTAAGTACTTATTCCTCCCTTAGAAATACAAACAAACTCCTACTTTATAGATGAGAAAACTGAGACCAAGAAGCAAGAGGCAAACTATTTGTCAAGGGCTATTTCACTTTAAATGGAAAGATCTAATGTTGGGTTCCTAAGTCTTATAATAGTGCTTCTCAATTAATAATCATGGGTGTGCGGTTCTCTATTATTAGGGATGAATAAAGTAAGAAATAACTCAATTTTAATGGGGCTGTGAATGACAAAAAAGAATTCTATTTGGTCTACGTTATTTATTTCAACTGGTGAGATAAGATTGCACAGCAGTGATTCAAGCCAAAGGAACAAATCAACCACACTCAACCAACAGTTTTTCTGTTAATTGTTAATAGAAATGCTCAGAGCTGGTGCACTTACCTCTTCGCTTGGAAGCAAGTTGTCATCCAATTTGAATGTGGTACCTACACGCCTTCTGACCTGGGGAGGTTTCTCACCTATGTTCAGTGGATACTCTTTGGGAATTTTGCCTGTGAGCTCCTGTAAAACAGGGCAGAGTCGAGACAGGAATAACTGACACTGACTGGAGTTGTCAAACACAATTTGAAGGCCACCCCTCAAAATTGAAGACACTCACAGCCTCCCGCAAACAGATCTTTTTAAGCTCCTCGACTTTTTTCAGGAGTTTTTCTTGCAAAAGCTTTTCCTTCTTCTTAAGTTCAAGGATTTTCTCTCTTTTTTGCTCTTCACTAACTTCTGAGTCTTGAGAACCTGGGAGGATGAAGGGAGGGGAGCAAGAAAGGTTTATATAAGCCAAGTTTCCTTCCTTTTGAAAGGACAAAGGACTTTAAAGCCAAACCTGTTATAAAATAATAGCTTGTTTCTTTTCTCCTTGTTTCTGAACATAATAAAAGGAAACTGGAGAACATTTTCTCATACTTCTGGGCATCAAATGGAGCCTGGTAATGTGCCCTTTGCAATTTGGCTCCGTCATTTCAGAAGTGATGATAAAATGCTTAATGTTTCAGACACTCCCAAGGAAAAATTTCATTTTTTGAGCAGAGAGGGTAAAATTTTCCTAGAGATAATTGCTTACATTGTTCTTTTACAAGGCAAGTGAGCAAGTCAAAGGAATGTTCTGTGCTTCTGATAAATAAGTTGACAATGCAACGTAGATGCGAAAATTTATTTTAGTGAAGTTACATGTATTTAGTGTTAAGAGATTTCAGGACTTTAGTGGAAGGGCTTAGGAGTAGCAATCACATTTAGGGGTGAGGATTTGAGTCTGTAATCATGTTCACCCTTATATTAAATGGAGAATTAGATAACATTTTGCATCAGTAACAAAATATTAGGGGAAGAAGCTTATGGAATTTAGGGGGAGAGAATGTCTTCTAACTCATCCTTTCTTTACATTTATGGTTAGTTATATAAAGTTTATTTATAACAACTTTATACTGTTTTCAAAATGTTAAGATTTTACTTAAAACTACTGCATATTGTAGATTTGTTATGCTTATTTATTCCCTACATAATGTATTAAAAGAGACATCGAAAAATTTTCTGAGAAACAACCCTGAGGAAAGAAACATGAAATAAAACAAAACTTGCTAGCCCTTTCTCTAATCCTAAAATGTTACCTGAGGAGATAAGACTGCCATTGCTTGCCATGATGAACTGACTCTTTGCGTCCAGGGTCACTAGTTTGGAGACCCGCGGCGCTCCTGTCTCTGTCAAGTCCATTGCAATATCGTCTAAACTTCTAGCTGAAGAAATTTTTGCCTAAGAGGTATACAACAATAAAATAGAATTGACTCAATTAAACTGACTTCAAATCAATAAAATGACAAGTTACTATAAAATAAAAAATGTCAGCACAGAGGGTAACTTAGAATTTTTGTATATTTAAAGTGACACTGTTTAGAAAAAAAGAACAAAACATAGCTAAAATTCTTTAACCAGGCAAGATTCTCACTCATGGCATGGTACAATGAAAGAGCCAAAAGTGTTGCCAGTCTACACAGACATGCGCATTGAAAAGTTGGCAAATCCCACAACTTTTACATCAGGTTATTTATTGCCCATCTTTTAAATATAAGAAAAATTAAAATAGTATGAAAATTTAAAAAAATTTAAAGAATAAAACTCATGTGTTTGCATCTTTTCTGAGAAAATTTAGCTTCTGAACAGAGAGCAAATGATGGGTGGCATTTGTCCTGTAACTTACTTTGCTTTGCTTTCGGTCCAAGTAGAACTGATGCTGACTAATTGCCATTACCCAGATGGACTTGATGAGAGAAGAGTTTGCATACCACGTTTGCACAAAGAGGCCACTTTGCCCAAAGGTTCTCCTTGACACTGAGATCCTGAAAGGTTAAAGAAAACACACAAATTATTCACCTCTGGTGCAGCACAGCATAAAATGCTCCCAGTGAGTAATGTTGTAGCAAAGCATCTTCTTAATTATTGTGTGGCTGTAGCACACTTGTGAGTACAGGGACCAACATTCTGATTGTTCTCCTTTTATGACAAAGTCAATCAGACCAAGATAATATCTTTCCATGTTAAACAAGCATATTTAAAAAGGCATATATATAGTAAAAAGCAGATAAGAATTAGCCAATCAGAGGCTAGACTAAAATATCTCAAAATTACTGTATTTAAAAATCATAAGTATGTGTGGCCATCACAAGAAGTAGGGAATAAATGTGATAAAGCAACAGGGTGGGGTGGAGTGTGGGAGAAGTGGATGAAGGTGGTCAAAGGTACACCTTTCATTATACAATAAATTAGTACTGGGATGTAATGAGCAGCATGGTAACTACAGTTAATACTGCCATGTGGTATAATTGAAAGCTGCTAAGAGAGTAGACCCCAAAACTTCTCATCTGGAAAAAAAGAACATATCTTTTTTATTTGCTAATTTTATTTTGTGTCCATATGAGAGATGGAGATTAATTAAACATGTGGCAATTATTTCACAATAAATGTAAGACAAGTTATTATGCTGTACACATTAAACTTATATAATGCTACATGTCAATTATACTGCAATAAAATTGAAATAAATAAATAAAATAAAATAAAATAAAGACAAAGCGACCAAAACTTGTGGCAGTCACACCTTCTTCAAGGTGAAGACATGTCAGCAACCAGTTCTGACACTCAGAGGATGAACATAATGATATTGTCTGAAAATTTTGCAGGCCCAAAACTGGCTCAGAGGACTGCTTCTGCATCAGATAAAAAGAGGAGGAATGGAGAGAGGAGGAGAGAGCTAAGAGAGAGAAAAGGGAGATGGCAGAGAGAAGCTGTGCGGGGTGGGAGCAGAGGCTGGGGAGGGATATAGATGTTCTTTGTAGGAATCTGGCTGATTCTTGAGGTTATCTTTTATCACAGCTGTTTCTCCCATCCCTCCAAACATCCATAAATGTATCTGAAAAGCAGCCCTGAGCACTGATAATTCCGTGGCAGAGCTTGGAGAACTTACAATCCTGATTTCAATTCATACTGATAACTTGGGCAGTATTCCTTAGTAAAGTGAGCAGGACAACCAAACTTAAAAATGAACAAAAGATCTGACTAGACTTCTCTAGTGAAGATTTATAAATGGCCGATAAGCACATAAAAAGAAGCTTAGCCATCTTCATCATAAAATTAAAATGAGCTTCCAGGGGTCTCCCTGGTGGCGCAGCGGGTTGAGCGCAGCGCTGTGAAGCTGTCCACAGCCTTTGCAGAGCGACTTTGATTCCTGGACGGCCAGGGAGATACCCACATGGCGCGGCAGACCTCTCCTGTCTCTCCCGCTGCTTCCCTCAGCAGTGTATTTCAGTCAGTCTACCTGTTCTGCTGGCTACTCTGTCTCTGGTGAATCCTCTCACCCTCCCGTGCCACTGGCCTGTACCCCAGTTCTTATGTAAATAAAAGTAAATCTTTTTTTTTATAGAGGCATGTTTTGTTTATTTATTTGTTTGTTTGTTTGTTTGTTTGTTTTGTTTATACATGCACTGGGTACAGTCAGAAGCGTGGGAGGGTGAGAGAATTCACCAGAGCCAGAGCGGGGAGCAGAGCAGGCAGAAGGACCGAAGTACACTGCTGAGGGGAGCAGCGGGCGTAAGGAGAGGTCTGCGTGTCATGTGGGACCCTCCTCTCTGCGCGCCATGTGGGACCCTCCTCTCTGCGCGCCATGTGGGACCCTCCTCTCGTGGCTGGGGAGCAGCCGGGGATCGAACCAGCGCCGCAGAGGCCGCGGGCAGCTTCGCAACCCAGCGCTCAACCGCTGCACCACCGGGGAGGCCCAAATAAAAGTATATCTTTATAAAAAAATGAACTTCCATGTCACACACGAATAGGGTAAGTAATACACACACACACACACACACACACAAACCAACTAAAAATAATAAGCATTAGGGAAGAACTGGAGAAACTATAATCACATCGGCTGCTGTTGTGAATGTAAAATGTTGTAGCCACTTTGGAAAATAGACTGGCAGTTCCTCAAAGAGTTAAAAAGAGTTATCAGTTGACCCAGCAATTCCACTCCAAGCTATAAACCCAAGAGAAATGAATACACATGTTCATACAAAATAATAGTTCACAGCAGCATTATTCATATAGTTACCCAGACAGACAGAGAAAGGCTGTGATTCTTACCTCCGTGGATCATGAACTTCAACAGCAAATTTTTTCTCACGGAAATATAAGTTCTCCAATTGTTTCCACTGAAATAACTAAATTTGGAAAAAAGAAAAAAACACACAATTTAATTATTATTAATTCTACACAATATAGATATCAGCTTAATAATCATATAACCAAGAAGGTACACTAAGATTAAGTATGAGTATGGGATACATTCTTTTTACAAATCAGCTACGACCTGAATTCATTTCATTTCTTTGGACAGTAATCCTCACCTCACCAATAAATCTTCCTTGAACAATAAAACCAGTGACTGTGGAGATCATGCATACTATTTTTCCTCTGACTCAATGAAATAAAACTTAATAAGAAAATCTGCGTGGATTCCAGTAAGCACATACCTTTTGATCAAAGCTGTTGACTTCTTATTTAAATGGAAAGATAATGTAAAGGGTGTTACAATAAGCACACAGACTAATTTCAAAGGAATGCAAAGTGAAAGTAAAACAGATCCCCACACAGGGGTAAGTCTCCGAGACACCAGTTTCCTCATACAAAGTTGCAACGAGAGTTCCCCTAAATTCAGGAGAAACGTAGCAGCAGGAATTGGGCGGCAGCAGTGGAATGGGAGTGATGCCCTCTGCTTTCTGAGCTAGAGCCTCCAGTTTTTGTAAACCAAACCCAACTTCTATATTCCTAATGCTGACATTCTAATGCTGTACACAGGGTTATCTGCCAGTTCGGGGGAGGAACAAACTTTCCCAGCAAAGCGCATTTGAAAACACAATAATTTGTAAAAAAAAAAAAAAAAAAAAAAAAAAAAAAAAAAAAAAAGAGTATGCTTTTCTGTTTCCCGGGCTCTTTCCCAATCTCTTGTGTCTCTGCTTATCCTTTCCACTTGGACTTCAGAGTTTAGTTCCTCATCTCTGTCCCTAGTCGTGATGACTGGAGAAATACCAGCACAGCAATTTCATTCCATTATTAGACGTTGGTTGGATTTTAAAATTAAGTTCAAAAAAATCTTAAAAGGGTACTTTAATTGGCAAAATAATAACTTCTCTGCAATGCACAATCAGCAAAAACCATTTCCTGAAGTACAGGCACCAAGAGTTTTGAGTTTACAGGTTTACATGTAATCCTCATGTAAAGAAACAGCAAGAGGTTAAAGTACCTGTGCCCAGGCAGCTAGGAGACAAAAGCATCCAAACTGGACTCCCAACCCCAAACAGACTTAAAAAACACACACACACAAAAAAAAAAACCAGCACACACTAAGAACATACTCCTTCGTGGTCTGAAGGGTCACCTGTAACTACAATACTAGACACAGGTTGGCAGGGAGTTAGTGAAGGCTGAAAGTTACATACCAATTTCCTAAAATGTCTGCAGACTTGAGGCTTTTATTCCTTATAATCCAGAGGTTCCAAAAGTGGGACAGAAATATGAGGGAAAACCCCACGGATCTTTCTATCTCCCCATTCCCAGACAGCAGCTCCAGTGACTTCTGAACTGAGTTTCATAAGACACTGAGGTGTAACTCAGTTTCACAAACCGAACCTCCCACGTCTGACACACTACTGACATCAGCAACTCTATACAGTGACACCTCCCAGTTCACGCCTTCCTCCCATCAGAGAACGGAGAGCAAAGATCACACTAGCAGATTTTCCCATAAGAGAGACATGTTTTTTAAACGTGTGGATTCAGATACTTCCTGGGAAGTAAGTTGCTTTGAATCCAGGCAAATTTCACTGGAGGCCGCCTGCCCGAAGGAGACATTTCTAGACCCTGGTTTACTCACCCTGGCTGCGAACAGGTTCTACAGGAAGAGCCACAATGCAGCTCAGCTGTGTTTTCCTTTGCGTCCATTCCCACACACATAAAAACCAGGGCTGAACTTGAAACATGATCTCTGAAAGTCACCACCTCCTCCTCTTATCACTTACAAACATGAAACACTAGCGCTTTGCCTCATTTCAGCTTGGGCTGCATTAAGAGCAAACCTACTCCGGGCAAGCAAAAACCCTGCCTTAGTTTCTTTAAGCACATTATTTCAATGTGCTTAACTGGATGGCAACTGGGCTTGCAAAAGAAGTTATGGGACTGAGGTGGCGTTTTTTAGTCTGCAAGGCAAAATCATTTTCCCCCGAGATCATAAAAGTTGGTGCAAAATGTGATTCCAAATATGTACCTGTAATAGTAGGAAACTGAACTGAAATTGAACAAAATTCATGATAGTGGTTGTTTCTAGGATAGGGATGGTAAATGCATGAAGGGCGAGTGGCACAGAAAACTTTAACATTACTGGTGATAGTTTCTTTTATTAATGAAAACAGGATGAAGTAAATGTGATAAAATTGTGATAAAATGTGATAAAATTAATGGTAATTGTTAATTTAAGTGGTGATGCAGATGTTGTCATATTCTTGGTACTCCCCAAAATTAACATTAATAGATGTGTATATAAAATGCACATACGTAGATCTATTTTATGCAGAGTGAGATTTCTATCTCCTAACCATTTGTGCCTATTTCAGACATTTCAAGCATTATCATTTTGACTCTTATCAATGTTTGAAGTTGCTAGGAAAATACTTATAATTGCAGTGGCTTTTGATTTAGGTGGTGACTGGAAAACAAGCTAATTTTTCTTGTGGAAATTCTGAAATCATTGTTCTATTGTGCTTTCAAATTATTTTGATGTTTTTGATCTCAGAGTGTCAGGATTAAGCTTTGAAAATGGCAATGGAGCTGAGTTGAAGTGACTTCATTTACTAAATGTTGCTCATGCCACAAGCCTAGGAGAGAAGTTGGCACACAGCAGGTAACTCACCAATCTTCATTTCCTTCCCTTTTGCCAGTGTTTTCCTTAAAGGATAAATAGGAGGCCTTCCTATGGTCAAAATCAGGCAGAGCCAATGGAAAGAGAAGAGGAAATTGGCCAAAGAAACAACTTACCAGGCTTCCCTGACTTGCTGGGGACTCTACATTACAGAAATGGTCTATTATGTGACAAAGAATGGTCTATATCCCCTGATGATTTAGAGGTGAAGGAAAACCTTATGTATTCGAGGGGAAAAAAATCAAAGTTCAAAGGAAGGTAGAAGGTAGCAAAGTATGCTTCACCTTTTCTATTACGTGTAGAACATTAGTGCCCACATAGGATAGGACTATTTTAGTATATGACACCCTAGATGTATGGTTACTAGCTGGTTGCAATACACAAGCACATTTGAATTCTCATGTTAAAACAGAAAAAAATATGCTCAAGTTAAAATTCCCATACTTAGAGATTAAAAAAAGGGACAAGGGGAGTTTATTTGCAATACAGAATTGAGTATGAAACTGGGCTGCTTTCTATAATGCTTGTTAAATAAGCATAATAATCATTAATTAGAATTTATGGTTGTTTATGTGGTACTCACTAGAAACTACAAGCTGAAATTGTATTGCTTTTATAATCTATGGTGTTAGTAATGAAAGGAAATACTTGCAGGGCAAAAATAAAACTTAAGTTAGGACTTCCAGATTTCTTTCTATGCTACACTCATCTAGAATGATTAGCTGTGCCCGTTAGCATCAGATGATGAAAGTAGACTGTAACAGATAAAAGAGGAGCTGGGATTAACTTTGATATTGCACAATAAATACATAAATATAGATAAAATAGAAAAAGTAAAAGAGGAACAATATAAACAGCGATATTAACAAACAGATAATCAAAAAACTACAACAGGAAGAGAATGTATCCTCAGGTCACCGATTCCTTCTTAGGAAAGTGTCAAATATTTAAAAACTGACATAGAAAAACATCTAAGCAAGTTTCCTCATCTATAGTATGAGACTAACAATGCCTGCCTCGTGGTTTTTAGGAAAGGTTCCCTGGCACTTTGTTTATAAAGCATTTAGCCTGGTGCCTGGCTCAGCACCAACATTCAGTAAGTGATAAAGCTACTTATTCAATCCAGTTCCCTAATTTCATTGTATCTTTGTGAAGATGGAGGACAGCCAGTTAATAGCAAAACTAGAACTAGCAACACTTATCAGATTCTCACATCTGTCTTTCCACTGACAGGAATAGCTAGGTTATACTGTTGACACATCTGTGTCACTCAGGTTTCCAATTCTGTGAGTTTCAGGCTCTGTAAAACTGCTGTGTTTTTACTGATGTCATTGGTGGTTTCCTGATACACCCTCTAGGTAGGAAATCTGTTTAGTGTTGCTATATCATGGAGGTCACAGATGAGTAGGGAGGGGCAGGGTAAGGGCATGCCCAAAGGGAGAGTTCATGCAGCAAGCTCTCTTCTGTCTGGGGACACACACACACACATAACACACACATTGAGGGAAAGCCTTGAATAGAAAGGATCAAACTGCTTTTTTTTTTCAACTTGATGAATTGAAAGCTGACATCGCCCAAAGGTTAACACTAGTCAAGGCCAAGAAATAAGAAGCTTGTTAATTTTTTAAAAGTACTTATAATCATTTACCTGCAAATTCACCTGGAAATGACTAAATATGGGCTAGACAGAGCTGGTATGTATGATTGTACACTAGCTAGTGACTCAGAGGGAGATCCCCTACTATAATCTGACACAAAATAAATCACTTCATTGTCCATTTATTGTTTTTTCATTAAAAAATGCACTTAATGAGGGTCTCCCTGGTGGTGCAGGCAGTTGAGCGCAGCTCTATGAAGCTGTCTGCAGCACGGGTTTGATCCTGGCTGGCTGGGGAGAAACCCACATGGTGAGGCAGACCTCTCTTGTCTCACCCGCTGCTCCCCTCAGCAGTGTATTTTGTCAGTCTGCCTGTTCTGTTCCCCGCTCTGTCTCTGGTGAATCCTCTCATCCTCCTGCATATCTGGCCTGTACCCTGGTTCTTATATGAATAAATAAATCTTTTAAAAAATGCACTTAATGAATATACTATTAGTGTACATGACCTAGCGAGTGGATCTGTTTTTCTTCCTGGTCTACCACAAAAACAGAATTTTGCTATCAATAGATTATGGACTTTTAAAATATCAAACTGACCTACCTTGTATTGGAACAGCCATCCTTCTATCCACCTAATGTTTATACAGCTG